TTTTTTTTTGTTACAATGAATCATCAAAATATGAGTAGTTAAAATAAAAATTTGTTAGAACAATTTATAATAATTCCTTCATTGTGGTCCCAAACCGAAAGTAAAGATAAAAACTCATATAATTATAGTTTGACTATAGATTAGCTCTTAGCACAACCAAACAAGCCCTAAGAATATTTTTTTTTTATTCTTTATACATGTAATCAGAGTGAGGTTTCAGAGTTTCTTTTGAGTGTCTCCGATATTTGTTCTATTATTCCTTTTCAGGTTTGAAAAAGTACCCTTCTCCAAAGTATTAATTAACTTGGTGGCAAGAACATAAATTAATAGAAAAATTTCCTGAAAGGTTTTGTACATTGAAGGTTAATGCTAAGTCAAGCAGTCTCAGTGAAAAAATTATGTACATGAGGGTTACTACTAAGTCAATAAGTCTCATAAAAAAAATTAACAGCGAAAGCTGATACAAAGGTAAAGGTCCCCTAACATAATTGCTTTTCTTTTCTTTCTTTCTTTCTTTTTAACGTTTAGAAATTGAGGAAGGAGGAATCACAATGCAAAGGATCATAAAACCACTGGCATGATCATATATTAGTGCATTTCCACCATTAATTACCACTGCATAACATAGAATAACATAATTGTTTTTATATGCCGTATTTGGAGGGAATGTTTAATAATTTGACAATAACTATCACAATAATATAGTATTTATGACTTTTCTAAATTAGTGGATCATAACCATCTCCATCACTAATACAGTACATGTTTACATTTAGTTGAAGTTCTAAGTCAAGGTCATCTTCGGTTCATAAAATGAAGTACAAATGCCAATAGTATGTTTGGTTTTATAAAAGGATATTGATCAATATATCCACTAATTTAACATACTGCTTATTAAAATTTATTACATTTTAATATAAAATTAAAGACAGATAAACTTAAAAATATAGTCATGCATATAAAAAACAAGAATCGATTGAATCAACTGTACTTGTATTATATTTTTAATAGTTAAACTGGACAAATATTAAAAAGTGTGTCAAACTAAGTGTGTAGCTACCCAAAAACATGATAAGTGTGTTTGGCTTGACTGTTAGGAGCAGTTGATAGCTATAACTATTAATTGATAACTAGAACTATTAATTGATAACTGATAGAATAACTAAGATTTATTATTAACTATTTAAAATCATTCTATAAACTAAAGTTTTCAAACACCCTAACTGACTATACACTAATAAAATTGGAAAATCAAACATATTTGTAGTATTTTGTGGGACCTTAACAATTGTTTGTGTGGCCATAACCATGGCCATGTTTAGGGTCTTGGTCTTTTTTTTTTTTTTTTTTGATACATCGGATAATGAGTTATATATTATGAGATAGTCCTCCCTATCACAAACCCCTCCCCACCCATTTTAGAATTCAAACTTGAGATCTCTAAAGTGGAGACTAAGATTCTTGATCATTGGTGCATCCCTAAGAGAGTGGTCTTTGTTGTTCATATCTAAGTTGTAAAGTCAAGGTCTTTCCTCTTTGCTGTCCACATGTATTGTAAGACTCATCTTTAGTCAATAGTTATAAAATATGTAGTGCGGTTATTTTTTGTTACAATGAAATGTAAGAATAGTCGTGGTCAAAATAATAAATTGTTAGAACAATTTATGGTAGTTCTTTTATTGTAGTCCCAAACCAAAAGGAAAATAAAATTTTATTTAATTTATAGTTTAACTACGGATTAGCTATTAGCACAACCACACAAGCCCTAGAATATTTGTTTCTTCATCTTTATGCATGCTCATGAGTGAGGTTTTAGAGGTTCTTTAGATTGTCTCCCACGTTGGTTCAATTATTCTATTCTAGATTTAAGATAAGAAGCAAAAAAAAAAGAAGAGCTTATGCAAAGTCAAAGTTCTTGACATAATTGCTATTCTCTTTCTTTTCCTTTTTCTTTTTTTTTTTTTCTTTTAACACTGGAGATTGACAACTATAAAGTATTGATGACTTTTCTAAATTAGTGGGTCATAACCATCTCCATCAATAATAGAGTACTTGTTCATGTTTAGTTAAAGTTGTAAGTCAAGGTCTTCCCTGTCCATAAAATGAAGTGCAAATGCTACAAGGGTGTCTTTGGTTTGACAAAAATGAAGGTAAGAGGGGAAGAAAGGAAGGACATGAATCTTTTATCAAATCAAATTACAAGGTTATCTAATATTATAATTTAATTAGACATTCCCCCCTCCCTGTGTTTCCTTGTCCCCTTCTCCCCTTAAGTTTTCTCAAACCAAACATCCTCTAAATGTTAACGTTAGATTACTATTATCCTCTTTTATAATACTAATAATTGTTTTTTACAGAAAAATTTATTCTAAATTAATTATGATCTTTCATTTTT